AACCACAAAGAGACACGAAACAAACACAAGGAGACACAAACCACAGAGACACGAACCAAACACAAGGAGACACAAAACCACAAAGAGACACGAACCAAACACAAGGAGACACAAAACAACCACAAAGAGACATAAAACCACAGATAGAACTATAAAGAGACACTAAACAACACACAAATGGCAAAAGCATCCCAAAGTGTGCGTCTTGCTCCTATGTAAGAAATATGAGGGAACTTTTTGCATGTTTTTTTGTTGTTTTCAATACATTAACTTTAAAATTGCTGAACAACTCAAAACCAGACTAGATGTGGCAAACACAAAAAATATATATTATTATTTAAACATGCTTCACATAGAGAAACAGCTGATCAATACTATAATACATCCTAACTAGAATAACTCCATGTGACTAGAACCCTACTTTTTGTTTCATTTTAACTTTAAAATATAATAAGTTTAATATGATCAGGAGGGAAGTGATGTATTTAATAAATGCTGCAGCGTGACCGTGTTTAAACTGCTAGAGAATGTCGCCTCCTGCTGCTGTAAAGAGATCATTGCACACACAGAGAAAGAGCCGCTCTCTATGAAATACATTTCATCAGATTACAGTCATGAAAAACAGAGAAAGTGGTCTTTTCATTCATGTGATCTGCAGTCCATTACTGTTCATGTAAGTAGTGTGTATATAAAAGAAACAAACACCAGAACCAGAGGAGAAATAAAAAGACAGAGGCTCAATAAAAATAATTTATTTACAGTGGCATGAATCATAAATTAACGAGCAGCATTGGCAAAAGCAACATTAGAGCGGACAGCTTGCATAAAGTGGTGTGAACATCTGGACTTTTGCATAATAAAACCCTCACACTCTGAATAGACTGTGAGTACCGGGCTGTGTCGCCGCTGACATATCGAATAAGAACAATCAGGGCAGAGAAATACAAATAAAACAGTGAACTTTGAACGCCTTCTTCGACATATTGCTCTGATTAAACATCGTATCCTGTGAAACACTTTCAACTGACAGCTGATTGCAAAGAAATGCATCAATAACATTAACAGAATATTCTAATCCGTGTCTGTGTGGACCAGTAGTTTCACCCGCTCATTTTAAAATCCAAACCTTCTGACCTGCACTATTCGTATAAAACAATAACTCCCTGCACAATGTTGTAATATGAAATATTTCAGCTATAAAAGGCTATAGAGTCTCCCCGTCGAGCTATTAATAAGCACGGTGACGTATTTGCTTGGCAGCTCTCGAGATGTTTCCGTTGCAACTCAGCATTAAATATCCTGACGTCAGCAGTCATGATGCAACAATAAAGGAAAGATTTACATTGTCTGCTTGCATTGTTGTTGAATGCAGACCTTAAAGCCACTACATGTAGGATTAGAACATTCTAGACTCTGGCGCCACCTGGCGGTGGAATCACGAAACACAATGAGCTCCAAGCTACGCTTTGACGGCAAACAAAGTTGTTAGATTTATTTTTCTACAAACAAGAAGTTATGCCATAAGAATAATTTAAAGATGCTAATAACACATTTAAAAAAAAATATCTAAATTTTTTAACTGAAAAACAAAAAACAGAACGAGTGAACTTAAAAAAGTAAAATGTGAACAGTCGGCTATCGACAAAGATCTCAGTGAAATATAAATTAAACAGCAACGTGAAGCCAGTCCAGTTAATTTATGCAACCTTCGTTTTTACATTCCTTCTATTTAGGATCATAGATTTATTTCCGGTTGCTTCAAACTGTTTAGGACCAGAGACGATCAAATATGGTTGTAGTATCCGTGAGGTCACCAAAAGGTTTCTGAAGAGCCGCATTGATTTCATTTTAAACGGGTCAGTTATTTAAACATTCACGTCTTGTACAGTTATGAACGTGGATATCAGCTATAGCTACCGTTTTGTTTGTACCAGGCTGTAAACACGTTTATTTATGTGGTAAAGTTGGGCATTTTAACATAGAGGTCTATGGGGATCGACTCACTTTTGGAGCCTCAAGTGGCCGTTTGAGGAACTGCAGTTTTCTTTTTTGAATTTTCCGCGTTGGCTTTGTGCTTTGCTGCTTGTATAAGACGTGATTTTGTTTGAAAGCTTTTACGACGGCAACATCTAACATTTGATAACGTAATAGCTTCTCTTGTGGTATTTCGTACTGAAACATTCAAAATAATGTCCTGATTTTCTAAATGTTCTGCGATATTGAACTTTATAAGCATTTCATGTCAGAAATAGTTGCTTATTTGTATCAGTAGTAAAGTCTGACGTCATTAATGTGATTTACAGGAAACTGCAGCTCAAAGTTAAAATGATTTGCGATTGAACTGCTGAAACCGTGTCGTATTTAACTTCCACAGCTGGTCCTGTGTTGCTTCTTGGGGATGGAATATAAAAACGCAGGTTGTGTGGTTATTCCACCGACAGTATGAAGCGGTAGAAGACTCAGTCAGCAGTATGTGACACCTGTAACACACCTGTAAACCGTACCGTTAAACACCAGACGGAGAATCACAGATCTAAGGCATTATGCTTTGTCTTCAGCATCTTAAGGTACTTACATGAATTACAGTAGTTTGAAATTGGTAAAATATTCATCTATGAATAAAGATATATATATATATATATTTATATTTATATATTTGTACTGTATCAGTCACAATCAAGAGAAAATAATTCACTTTCATCTAAACATTAGTAGTTACTGTACATGAGTTTACGCTCTCGACTGCAGAGAGTTTGACATTCAGGACAACTTCAATGGTGTTCACTTTCTCTTAGTGGTTGTATCTTTACGATCTGCACACTAGAGCATGATTTAATGTGCTGAAAGCTGAAAGGACATGAAGGAAAAAACAGGGTCAGCGCAACATTTTCTAAAAAAAAATTAAAACTTTCTGTCAGTGTTTCATTTTGCAGTCAGTTCTGCTTTTTCACAATTCATCTCCTTGTGACAGAATGTGCTTAAAAAGGTGCAATATACGGGATTCAGAGCATTATTATAGCATCACACAACTATGAGCTAATCATTATTATCGGCTGATAATGCAGCCGGTCATCACAGCTGCCGTTGTTTGCACCGTTTAGCTCAACCGCCGCCATCGAGAGGCAATAGCAACGCTCACAATCCCGCATATCGCTCCGTCAACAGGTTTCCACATTGCTAGTTAGAGTATGTTTTGTTCTTACTTTCAAGCACGTAAATAGATAGAGCACCGTTCACATGGATGTCCCACAATGCTCGAGGTCCAGTCTGTAAAAGCACATTTAACTTTGGATGCTCAAGGTTCCGGGTCTTTGTCTTCGTACTCCTCACTAGTATTGTACGTAGAGACTCACCCACAGAGAGACCCGACACAACAAACAACACACATTTTAAATTGTCCTTCAGCTGAATGAACACCTGCAGACCGGTACACGGTGTCGTTGTAAAGCGACCCACAGCAGCATGAAGCTTTAGTCGCTGAACACAGATCTGCTTTAGAGGCAGAAAGCGTTTCATTGGTTAAATCTCAGTGGGCGGAGAAAACTAACTATTCATGATGGAGTACTGGACTGACACTCCACCATGCTCACAATAACATGCACAATTACTACATACATGTACTCAAGTACAACTTTGAGGTAATTGTATTTTTACTTTCCATTTCATGCAACTTTAAAATCATAATCCGCTACATTTCAGAGGCCGGCTTTGTTCTTTTTACTCCACTATGACGCTTTGACAGCAATAAGTACATTACAGATGTTTAATATAAAATGCAAAATCAACAAAACAAATCAGTTATTATTATGGATTAAAACACCTGGAAGTATATAAAGTAATTCAACTTTGCTGCACCTTTAACGGCTGCAACATTAAAGTGATGAACACATCAATAATAATAATAATTCAGTAATATAATATATAATATTCTGAAATGAGCCATTCTGCATAATGAGTGCTCTTACTTTTGGTACTTTAAGTATATTTTGATGCAAATACTTTTACTCTAGTGACATTTTGAATGCAGGACTTTTACTTATAACACAGTATTCCTGCACTGTTTGCTATTTATATATATATACAGTATATATAAATATATATATATAGTACTGTGTTTTCCATTCGAGTGAGGTTGTGTCTAGACGGTTGTGATTGTAAAGATGGAGAGGTGAGGATTGTTCGCCGGTCAACGAGTCTTGAGACACTTTTTGTACGTTTTTTTTCACAAACCCCGGGCAACTATCTGACATGCTTTGAGAACGCCGTGTGAATTGACTTCCTCTATTGTCATCTTGTGGTTCTGGAGCTCCACCCACTGAGGTTTCAGTTAACCGACATATCTCTGCTCTCTGTTTGTTGGACTGAAACTCCAAACTGCTGTTTTTGCAATACCACAACGAGGAAAAAGGGGTATTTTAAATCTACGTATGTACACCATCTATACACATTCACCTTCATTCAAAAAGTCATTAAATAGGGATACAGCTCCCCTGTAACTACAGCAGTTGAAATATATTAATTTTAAAATTGACATCAAAATGTACCATTTTAAGAGATTTTCATATCCTTGATTCTTTTTTTGTGTCATACAAAGAATCTCTAAAACTTCTTCAAAACTATAAATACCTGTAAAATATTATATCATAAACCTTCTCATTTGAATGTTTTCAGTCAGGCTCTAAAACAGAACCGTAAAAGATCAAATGCAGAGGTTTCATTTAAGCTCGTCAACCGTTCACGTCTCCAGTGTCGAACTGTTTCACATTCACACACAAACGCGCACAAAGAGACGTGCCCTTCATATACAGTCTGCACGGCTGTCCTCTCCCTGCGGAGGGAGCAGAGTTACCGTCACAGGTCCTCGACTCCTCGACGCTCCTCCGTGAGCTGAGCGGAGTAGGCGTCAGTGTTTTTGCCTGCGTCACCTTGTCTCAACCGAAGCCGGGGTCAGCAGAAGTTCTTGAAAACGACAGAAAATCGTATTATTCGTCAAGAGAAATATAGAAATAACATACAGTCTCAAAATGATCTGATGAAAACCATCTCACGGTGATTCTGTAGACACCAGCCTGATGGCTTAGACTTGTAATACATATGTCAAGTATGTGACGTATAAAAGACGCTGGGGACAGGAAGCAGACTTGTCCCAGAGAGGTCCGGATGACTCATAAAGTAGCTTAAGATCAGAAATGTATACAACTTAATGTGTTTTAACTTACAGAATTGGCTTCGCCCTCTTGCGTCAACATGTCCATTCCCGCCAGCTGCTCCAGGATCAGGCTGCCGTCCCTCACCTGCGTCAGAAAAGATGACAATGACGCCAATCATGAACACATCGGCTAAAAACTGTATTATTCCTCCTAAATACTGAGAATGACTATAAAGGAAACATCTTGAACATGATACAGAGAACAAGAACTATTGCTGAAGAGCTCACGTGTGAAGACTCGTGTTGCACGTTAAAGAAAAAGGTGATTTATGCAAATGATAAACGTCTTTATCTCATATACTAAAAAACAAAGCATAAAGATTTTAGTTTTGGAATAACTTCATCGAAATGAACCTAAACCAACACAACAGGGAACCTCAACATATTTGAAATCCTGCACCCTCACCTGCTCTGTGTTCATGGAGCTCATCTGTCCTGACAGGTGGTTCATGTTGCCCCCGCTGTTGGCCATGACTCCCAGGTTCATGTTGCTGTTGTACATTCCCCCGCTGGCTTGTGTGGAGTACTGCGACTGGGACTGTTGGGGGTACACGCTGGAAGGAGGCAAACCGAGTCAGAGATGTACAATATTCACAAAAATACACAATCTGACGGCGAACTGTCGTCACCTGCTGCTGGCGGAGATGTTGGCAGGTTGGGACCACCCGGGGCTCGGCTGGTAGGCCGGAGCTCCTCTCTGGGTCGGACCCTGGGGCTGGGTTTGGGGTTGGCCCTGGATCTGCTGCAGCAGGGGGCTCTGACCCCGACCCATCCTGGGAGACAGCAGGGGGCTCTGAGGGGTCGCAGCCCCGCACGGAAAACCTGACACGGGGTCCTGGTGCTGCTGCTGCTGCTGCTGCTGCTGGCTCATTCCTGCAGAGTGGAGCGGATGAAATGGTCGTAAGCTGCATGGAGGGGAACGATAACCAGACACTAATATCTAGAAATAGTTTTTACCAGCCGTTAGGACGTTACTGTACTTCAAGACATTATTTTGAGGCATTATGACACTTAACACAGACAAGACAAATGGGAATGGGAGTGCTGATATATAAAAAAGTTGAAAATCTTCATGTAAAGGCAAAATGAGGAGGATTTTTTTTTTAAACAATGTACAGACTGATACATAGCCCCTACCAATCATCACTTATGACCCACTAGAAGTGTGTAGCGGTGTCTGCAGAGATCCTGCCATCCTTTTCAATTTTCTCATTTTGCTGTGTTGGCACGTTTCTGGGTGTTAACCTCTGTAGAAACGTAGCAATAAGGTGCCACATCGTAAGCACGCATCCAAGAGGAAGCTAACAAAATGGCAAAAAACCTGCACCGAAAAACTGCAATATAGCGATGTGAAAAAGCTCTTTCCAAAACAAGGATGAATCTATAGTTCTATCTATAACTATCTATAGTCACCCAGTTCTTTGTTAATAGCACGAAGATAACAAGTTCAATGTGCATCTCAGTCAAACTGGTGGTAGAAAATCCTCAGGAGCCTTTTCTGTCCTTTTAGAAACTTTCAATCTGGAGAGTCCCAAAAGTTTTATATTTTAGTCAAATGAGGATAAGAGTTCATTAAACAACAACGTGACAGAAGACGCATGAAGTCAACTAATAAAAGAAAGACTTTTGTCTCCCGATTGGTTTGTGAGTAAGTGAAAAAGCATCTTATGAAACCTTGTTGATGTGCACACAAAAACAAATCCATTCCAAGAACACACTTGTCATGATAACACCTTCAACCACGTACAAATCGACCTGCGAGAGGACAAACAGTCTGAACAATCATGATTGTGTTTGATTGCCGCCACCACAACGAAGCAATGACGCGAGTACTGACACACAGAGTGCTGCGGCGGGCGCACGCTGCGCTCTGATTATATACCTGAACTGCTGAACTGGTAGGCACTGTGCTGTGACGGGGGACTCATTACCCCGCTGTACTGCCCGCCTACATTCCCCATCATGCCCTGGCTAGCCAGGTGATGGCTGGGGGAGAGAGGGGAGGAGAAGGGGCTGGAGGAGCCGGGATGAGGAGGTGGAGGAGGAGAGGGCAGGCCGGTACCGTAGCTGGAGGCCGGGTAGGGGAACTGCTGCGGGTTGCCCTGTGGGTTGCCCTGCGGGAGCCGCGGGTTGGTGCCGCCCACGGGCATCGGCGTGGGGGCGGTGCCCCCGCTGGGCGGCATGCTGATGCCCTGAGTGCGCATCATCATGGTGCGCTGCTGGTGCACGTGCTGCTGCTGCTGCTGCTGTTGTTGGCGTTGGCGGAGGTGGTTGCTGAGGTACTCGCGCTGACGCTGGGCCAGCATCTGAGCGTTGAGGGTTCCCTGCAGGAAGACAAAACAATAGTAAGGTGACAGGTGCTTCAATGAAACAGGCTGTAAACAAGACTGGGAGGAGGGATTTAAGACAAACACAATTAACCGTCTACGACATTTAGTATTTCAATCCTGTGGGTCTAACACTGAATATGTAAATGAGTCGTGCTGCAGGCGAGTTGATTTTTTGAAAGAGTAAATGCTGAGCTGTTAAAGACAAGAATAGGCCACATCTAATTATTCTAAGGGGACGGACATACATATACATATATGTATATATACATATATGTATATATACATACACATATATATATATATACATATATATATATATATATACATATATATATATATATATACATATATATATGTATACACGTATACATATATATATATATACACATATATATACACATATATATATATATACACACATATATATATATATACACATATATATATATACATACACACATATATATATATATACACATATATATATATACATATACATACATATATACATATATATATACACATACATATATATACATATACATATATATATACATATACATATATATATACATATATATATACATATACATATATATATACATACACATATATATACACATATATATATACATATACATATATATATACATACACATATATATACATACACATATATATACATACACATATATATATACATATATATATACATATACATATATATATACATATATATATACATATA